TACCGAGATCATATCAAATCGAACGATTATGTGCCAATAAAGAGTTGATTGGCAAATAAATCATGGTTAGCTTGCTCTCTAAGTGAATAGAGAGGCATTTGAGACTATTAGTTCTCAATTTTGTTGTTGTACCGATATAATATTTGAAAATTCTTTTCGAATGAATATTCATGTACCAAATTGAATTTGTTTTATATTGAGTTTGAAAGTGGACAAGTAGTCCTCAATACTCCCTCCACATTGTGAAACTCAAAAGCGCGCGTTTTGTCCATGTAGGACATTTTTATTGAAATAAATAATGAGCTCACGCACATAAAGTATTATGAAAAACTTTATTGATGCTATATAGAAAATTCTCTATAAGAGAAAAATACATGGTACATGAAAAGATATGGATCTCTACAAGAGATCGTACCCACAAAGGCTACAATCCCCATTTATATGAATATAATTCTCTAAGGAGAATCCGGTACCGGAAAGTGAAATAGTGAGCTCTTGATTGATTATAAAGAAATATGGGGAGTACTAAAAATGTTATCGAATAACTAGATATGTACAATTATTTTTATAATGTGAAGAGCTTGAAGCTCATACATTTTGATAGATGTCGACATCTAGTTGGTCATTAGTATATGCATTCACAAATGCAATTGACCATGATTATTTGAAATTATTGATCAAATGAATTGTACATTGACTTGCGGTCATCACACATAATGTTGTGAAAGCCTTTAGTACAAAAGTGGGTAAAATCATTGCGGTAAATTTGAATGCCTTTGAAAATATATTTTTATGATGCAATCACTTTATGATGGTATTCAAAATTATTTGGCATGCACCATATGGATGCAAATTACCGCATATTTATATGGATCATAACTTGTTATTTCAAAGAATTGAAAATGCTTGAAGCATATAATAAGAGGTCTCATGAGTTAGACCCTACGAATGATCCATTTACATATTGAAGAATACGGTATTGTCACCTTAGTGAATACCTTGTTTACAAAAGCAATAATCAAATAAATTGATTCCTATTATCATTTGGGGCGAATTAAATCTTGTGGAGACTCATGAAGAGCTCACAAAGATCATCAATTATTTGATGAAAGAATTCGAAATGAAAATATCTTGGGAGGATATATATTTTGCATTGATCTGCAGATCGAGCATTTGTCGAATGAAATATTTATCCATTATTTGTTTATATACATGATAAAGCTCATTCATTGAGTAAACATATGATTGTCCGATCTTTGGACATAAGAAATATATTCCCATCCTTCCTCGAGAAGATAATGAGGATCGTGGTTCTAATATATGACGATAATAATGTCTGATTGCACCAAGGAGATTTTGGCTATATCAAGGGAGGTGGCCGAAGAATTATTGAAGATTTTTAAAGTACTCGAGAGTTAAAGAAGAAAGACGACTTGACAGTTATTGATGACAAACAAATAACGAGGTTGCAAATCCATACGTCGACGATCTTACTCCAATGTCTCATGCTGAAAACAGGGGGAGCGTGATCAACAATTTCAACACTGTACTCTTTTTCCTTCGTCCAAGTTTTTATCCCAATGGGTTTTTCTTGGCAAGGTTTTAACGAGGCAGTGTTACGCTCTCAAGATTTAAATTGATATGTACTCTTTTCTCCTTCGTTTAGGTTTTGTCCCATTGGGTTTTCCTAACAAGGTTTTTAACTAGGCATACTCCATATATGGTGGACATCCAAGGGGGAGTGTTATGAATTCTTAAGTGTGGATGACCATTACTCCCACCATTACTACCATCATCAAGCACCATTACTCCCACCACTACTCCCACCATTTACTCACCATTATATGCCCATAACTCCTTCTAACTCATGACCTTTCATGGTCTTACTTGTACTATAAATAGTGCTCCATTGTATTGAGGTGGATACATAAGAAGAACACAAGAAGATATACTTGTTTCTCTCTCTATATTACTATGTTAATTCATCTTTGCTTTGTTCTTCTTTACTAGTTTCTTAACAATACTTAGAATCTAAAAAAGTATGTCACTAAATAAATGAAAGGCTTAATTCCACTTTGCATCCTTGAAATATAGTCATGTGTCACTTTGCACCCAGGAGAAAATGAATAGCATTTTGCACCTTTGAAACACAATAAATCGTGCATAGTGTACTCCAAGTTGATTTTTAAAGCTAATGAAGCTAATTTAATATTTTCCGTGGTATTTTTTTAGGATGCCAAATGAAATTTTATATTTTTTATATTCATCAATCCTTTTGAAACTACAAAGTGCAAAAGTAAAAATGCATATCATAAATATATTTAAACTTTTTTCACAAAAATATATTCTACCAATAAAAAAAGAAGAAAAATCCTTCAGATATTTTGTTATCAAGTTATTTGAAAATTATATTTTGTTCCAAAAGTTTCTACCAAATATTTTCACGTATTACAATAAAATATCCATCAATTAAATAATTTAGTTATATCTTTTTTTTGGTAAGAAATTATAGTTTTTCACCATGTTGGTTGTAGATGAAAATAACAATCTAATTTGTTACTTTGCACCATGAGAAAAAACCCTAATAGAAATTAAAATTACCCTCATTAAGTTTTAAATATTCAATTCAATGGTGCATTGTGAATGATTTATTGTATTTCAAGGGTGCAAGATGCTATTCTAAATTTTCAAGGGTGCAAAGTCCCAAAATGCTACATTTCAAGGGTGCAAAATGAGATTAAGCCTGAATGAAGTGGTCTAAAAGTTATGTATTATTGATTGTACGAATGATAACTTATTGAAATACTTAATTTAGCTTTAATAATATATTTTGTTAATTGTTGAGTTGTTAGTATATGCAGTTTTTTTTTTCAAAATACAAACAAACAAACGTGGAAGGAGAAAAATGAATATCATAAGACTCCGTTTGACAGAATTAAGCATTGAGTGTTGAATGTTGAATAAATATCTTAATCAATAAGAGTTATATCTCAATGCTGAATGTTGAATAATTAAGTCCACTTGATAACTGAATATCAATAATTACTAAATAATATTATTTTCTTACTATAAACTTGTGTAATGGTGAAATTAAATGTATTAATTAAATTTGAGTAGTATATATAAATAAATTTAAAATTTAAAATATATCATATAGAAAAATATATTATGACAAAACATAAAATTGTAGATAAGAATTAAAAGTCAAATATTAAATGTACATATAAGTATTATAGTATCAAATACAATGGTGATAACAGGAACAACAAATATAATAATAACTCAAACACACTGTCCCCTCATTTACTTCATTTTATATTATTTTTTGTCAAAATAATAATTTATTATTGGCTTCCACAATTGATGTAGGAGAGATATGAGATAGCCGTGGATGGCTTTTTTTATCCAAAACTCATTCAGATACACATTTTACCGAATAAGCGAATGATTTTTGGCTGAACCAATAAGAGGTAAAATATTCGGTTCAGAAATCCAACCCAAACACACTGAATGAGATCATGCTTACCGAATAAGAGGAAATTGCTCATTCAGAGGTCATTTAGTGGTGTTCAAACATGGCCTTAATGGTTAGACTACGTATTAGTTCCGCACAAGAAATGAATATGATTATCTCTTTCTCTCATTTTTTCCCTTTTTAATTCGGAATTTCTTTCTTGAATTTTTCTTCACTTTCAATTATCTCAGTTTTCGTTATTCTTGTTGTCTTTACTTTTTCTTTGTTTCTCCCAGTAAACTACTCCCTCTGTTCCACAATAATTGTTTATTTTTAAAATTATTTTTGTTCAATATTATCTGTCACTTTATATTTCCAATACTGCATTAATTGTGTAATTATCAATTTTACCCTTATTAACTATCTCCAACACTCTCTCACATTAATTATTGGCAAGGGCATTTTAGTATAAGAACATATATTTTTCTAAAATTAAGCAACATTTATTGAGATCCTTAATCATTGTGCACAAGCTAAAAACGACAGTTATAAAGGAACGGAGGGAGTATCTATTTTTATTGTAATCAGCGGTACCACTTTTGCTGTCCATGGATTATGAATAGAGGTCTTTACAAATAAGCCCATCAATGGGTACTTATTCAATAAAGGGATATGGGCAGCTCATAAAACTAATTGGAACACTTTTTTGCACATAGTAGGGATAAAACATGTAATCCAATAAAGGGTATTTGGGGAATGAGCAACTCTCAATTATTGTGACATTAGGAATAGCAAGACGGATGGTCTCTTTGGTATAGTTGATTTCGTGGACGAGGTATTTTAGAGAATTGATATATATTGAGGTGGTATTGTTTTCGCATGAAAGTACGAATTTGGGATGACCGCAGCGTTTTGGATCGGTCTTGAGCCTGAAAGGATAGCTAATATTGCAAATTTTGCCACACGAAGAAGGGGTGCAGTTGATTTGGTTTCCATGGGATTTTTGGATGAAATATAATTGGGTTGTGATGAAGAAATAAATGAATTTGAGGAGGAGGCTTTGGCTGAGGATATACATCTATGTGTATGAATATTTGGTGATCAATTTGAAGAGCTATCTACAGCTTATAAGTTTGGGGATATGATTAATTAGATGGAAGAGATGAGAGATAGAGGACTATAGTAATGTGTGAATGGAGGAGTTTGTTTTTTAGTTAAAAATAGTGAATTCACCACAACTAGGAAATGCAGTCAACTCAAATTGTATGGAGGAAAATTCAAGTCTTCTTCACAACTTGTGTGAGTCGAGTGAGTCTACTTCAAAAGGACAACAATTGTCATGATTAAGGAAATAGTCGAGTAATTTCCGTCAAATTATATTGTAATCAATTTTTATTTTTTGGAGAAAAAACATATAAATCACTATCTCATCAGGTCCACCACTATCAATTGGGGGATACAAGGTTCTGTATTGCTGTTATTAAATGGAGAAAATAAAACTCTAGTCTGCCAATTTGAATTACATGCACATAAATAAAGATTAATAATGTCTTCCTTTATTTTCTTGCTTTTGTTATTTCCAGTTGTTGCAGTAGTAGTAGTGCAAGGAAACGGTGATGATTGTACGCCAATCAGATGCAGTAAACATAGCCCGATAATTCGGTTTCCTTTCAGACATCAAACTCTGCAACCTCAGCACTGCGGCTATCCGGGTTTCGATCTAAACTGCGACCACAAAAACAATGCTGTTCTTGTGCTTCCGTTCTCCGTAAATGTTGTTGTGAAGGAAATCAACTATACATCTCAAACAATTCTTGTTTATGACCCAGAAAATTGCCTTCCACAAAAGCTACCCCATCTAAACTTATCTACCTCATCCTTCCACTTCCCTCTTGATGAGTTCTTCCAATCAGACTCCGCCATTTTTATATGTTCTGATGATGCAGACAAATCTTTGTATCGCTTTCCTTGCCTTATTGATCCCATCAACAAATACTATTTTGTTGATAACGATAACATACTTTTATATCAATTGACTTCTTGTACAAAGATTTATGATATTCCACGTGTTATTCCACGGAGTATATCCGGTAAAAACGGCTTCCGTTTGGAGTGGTCTGAGCCATCATGTGGCCACTGTGAAGCTCAAGGCAAACGATGCAGCTTATATAATTCAACCAGACTTGATAGTATTCACTGTATCAACAAACAACCAACCACAATTCATCATGGTATGTTTTATCTCATCCCATTTTTCTCAATTGGAGTTATTGCATTTACTACCTCTGTGAAAATCGCAACTCGGCGTTTCTCCCCTGTCATAAACAAAATTAGCAAAAATTCCCTTGTATTTATTTTAAGACAGCATACTCGGCTCATTTAAATTTTCTCCATTGACCGGTTGTAAAAGGACCGAAGAACCCAGGAAGTTTCTGCAAAAAACTAGGGGACCAAATTGCAGTTTTCAAAAACTTAATCAAATAATTCAGGTGACTGAATTATAATTTCTGAAAATACATAATACTTATAAAATAGGGTAAATTACAAACACCCCCCTGAGGTATGGTTAAATTACAAAAAAAAACCCTTGTTTGGATAATTACATTTACCCCCCTCAGCTATGATTTTTTCTTACACCTCCACCCTTATGGTGCCAAATTCAACATAATCATCTAGATTCCATGGAATGTGCTCTAGTTTGTACTCGTTTTGTGTAAAAATACAATTTCCGATGAACCACAAACTGATTTATACAAGCTAAAAAACACATATTATGATCATCTTTGCTTCATAATGTAGAGTTCGAATGGAATAAAACGGGCACAAAAGTGATAATATTCCATATAATCTCCAAGATCCTACTAAATTTGAGGAGTTGAGGGGGTGGTTGTAATTATCCAAACAAGAGGGGTGTTTTTGTAATTTGACCATACCTCAGGGGGTGTTTGTAATTTACCCTATAAAATATTATGTATTTCATTATGTCATATTTTTATACATACCAAATAATGCTTTAGAAATATTTATAATTTAATAAATTTAAATCAAATAAAATGCAATAAAAATATATTAAAATAAAAAATAAACTTATTAAAAAAGAAAAGAAAAAGATGTTGGGAGCAATTCCGTCATTTCACACAAAAAATGAAGAAAAGTCGCAGAACCCACGAGTGAGACACACGATTTGCGATGAGGGGAGTTGTCGTCTTTCACTAATGAATACGGAGTATTTGCTATTTTTTTAATGACGGGGAAAACATGCAGTTGCGATTTTCATAAGAGTAAATGCAATAAACTCTTTTTATTCGGTATAGATTATCATTTTCCTAAAGAAATATTTTTCTTGTTGGTTACAGAAGCACTAAAGAAGCGACTGATTGCAGGTAAACAATTTCTATGCTTGTAATAACATTATATTATTCTAGTAGATGGGTTATAATATAACTTATGAATTATGTTTCAAAGGTTTTGGTTGCTTTCTTGCCGTGATAATCCTCGTTGCTATCGTCTATCAATACATCCGATTTAGAACTGGCAGGGAGAATCAAATCAAGATTGAAAAGTTTTTGCAAGATTATCGAGCCCTTAAGCCGAGTAGATTCTCTTATTCTGATATAACAAGGATTACTCATCAATTTCGCGATAAATTAGGTGAAGGGTGTTATGGAGTTGTTTACAAAGGAAAGTTGAACAATGAAATAGATGTTGCAGTTAAAGTACTAAACAATTCCAAAGGAAACGGAGAGGAGTTTGTGAATGAAGTAAGCACGATTGGGAGGATACACCACGTCAACATTGTCCGTCTTGTTGGCTTTTGTGCTGATGGATTTCGAAGAGCTCTTGTTTATGAATTTCTACCAAATGATTCCCTCGAAAAAATCATTTTTCAAGCGGGTTCTAAGAAAATATCTCTCGATTGGGAAAAGCTAAAGGATATTGCGCAAGGCATAGCCAGAGGCATAGAATATCTTCACGAGGGATGTGATCAACAAATACTCCATTTCGACATAAAGCCGCAAAACGTATTGTTAGACCACAACTTCAACCCGAAGATCTGCGATTTTGGTCTTGCGAAATTGTGCTCAAAGGAACAAAGTGCAGTGACAATGACCGCGGCTAGAGGAACAATGGGCTATATTGCACCTGAAGTACTGTCCAGGACTTTCGGGAGGGTTTCGTATAAGTCCGATGTTTATAGCTTCGGAATGTTGTTGCTTGAAATGGTGGGAGGGAGGAAAAACGAGGATCGTAATGTAAATAATACAAGTCTGGTATATTTTCCGCAGTGGATTTACAATCATATTAATACGGAGGATAATCCAATGTGGGCACAAATTGATGAAGAAGGAAATAGTATAGCAAGGAAACTTAGTATAGTAGGGTTGTGGTGTATACAGTGGTCTCCGACAGATCGTCCGTCAATGAAAGTTGTGGTTCAAATGTTGGAAGGAGACAATGGCGATCTCACAATGCCTCCAAATCCATTTCCAGCTACTTCGAATATTGTTGGTGCCAGACATTATCAAACTGAGATGGCTATCATATTAGAAGAGTAAAGTATATATATATATATATATATATATATATATATATATATATATATATATATATATATATATATATATATAGAATTTCGGTCTGTTGATATTGTATCCTTTTCTTTTTGTACCTTTTTCTTGTTGGAAAAAAAATATTGTTGTGTGAAATGGGACCTCCTGAAGACCTTGTATGGCGTAACAAGGAAAGAGTACTCATAGTTATTTACAAAATTGATTCACATGGATTACATGTACATTCACTACTCAACATTTGTATAATAATCTTAGCTAATTACTTTTTAAATATGTAACTCGTAATTTGGCCGATCTACAGTGCAAGTCTTTCTGATTTTGGATTGGCAAAAGATAAAGTCATATTTCGACAGAGTCGTGGGAACCTATTTCGAGATGACAGTTTGTTTTTTGGATTTGAAATTTTCTTCTGCAAGAATCATATATTCATAGCTTCCCACGATTTCCACAAAAACAACATTTTACTGTCACACAAAACTTGGTTGGACAGTAGCACCGCGCTTTGCACGGTACTCGAACCAATAGATATAGCGGATGTTATATCGGGGATTCCTCCGCCACTATACCACGAACCTGAGTATTTTCGGATGCTGTAGGCATCCCGGGCACTAAAGTTTGAGCCCGATAGAGAGTTGTTGGGGAAAGAGCAAGTGTCGTTTCTAAATACGGAAGCATCGGTAATACGGATTGTGTAGTTGGTGTAGTTGATGGATTGTACGAGGTAATTTTGAGAATCGATGTATATTGAGGTGGTATTGTTTTCGCATAAAAGTTCGAATTGGGGATGACCGCAGCGTTTTGGATCAGTCATGAGCCTGAAAGGATAGCTAATATTGCGAACTCCGCCACATGAAGAAGGGGTGCAGTACTTAATTTGGTTTCCATGGGATTTTTGGGTGAAATATAATTGGGTGGTGATGAAGAAATAAATGAATTTGAGGAGGAGGCTTTGGCTGAGGATATACATGTATGTATGAATATTTATTTTGGTGATTAATTTGGCTAAGTTTGGGGATGATTGTTTGAGGTTGCACAGTATGATGAGGTGGGGGAGAGAACACTATAGTGTGTGAATGGTGGAATTCTGTTTTTCTTTTTTTTTTTTTCTTCTTTTTTTTTAATAGAAACCCATTATGTTATGGGTTGATTACATGGAATATATATAAAGAACTATTGCAAGGTAATAGAGTTTGACTAGGTAACTAAATCCTAACTAATCTAGGTAACTCAATCATACTAGAATCCTAATATTACAAGAGTTCCATAATATAATATTCTCTAACAAGCCCCCGCAGTCGAAACGTGAAGACTGGACAATCACTTGCTAGCACGCTCCCGCAGTCGGAACGAATAAACTTCAAAAGTGAAGACTGGACACAAATCGCAAGAGGAAATATCTGCCCAATTGATAAAATAAAAAAAAATAATAATAATAATAATAAACGGGTGAGAGAAAAATAAGCAACTTTTTTTTTTATTTTTATCGAGATAGAGAGAAGAGATGAGAGAGAAGGATGGAGATCAAAAGAGAGAAAATAGATTAACCGACTAAGAAGAAGAAGATGTCGGAAAGAAGAAAAAAATATAAGTTACCACCACCGGGAGAGGAAGAAATTGGGTGGTTTTTATAGATCTGATAGAAAAATAGTCGGAAAAGATAGAGAAGACTGTTATTGAAGAAAAGAGTATAAGTAGAAGAGAAGAGTACCACCACCAGG